GAGCTCTATAAGAGCCTCAAAAATATGCCCTCTTATCCTTCTGAGATTTTTTTTTCCTCCTTGTTACTTCAGTAGTCCTCTTTAAACTAGTACACATTTTGATTACAAGATTTCAGAAAGTGTAAATGATTATCAGAAGTGACCAGTGATTCAGTTAGGGGGTGGAGTGTTGGGGTCTGAGACTTAAGAAGTTGTTGACAGCGATCATGAAAAGCAGTTGAAGTGGATGAAGGGTGGGGAAGGTGAGTTGCAAAGGCCCTGGTGTGGAGCTGGCAGAGATCTCTTCTGGACTTGGACTGGAATTCCTTCCTTTGGTTAGTACACTTCCTTCTCTTCTACCGTTTTAAAAATAGACAAAAGCTGTGAAAGCTCGGTGGTTTATTTTGGAGAAGTAGTGGGGATTTTGGGATACAGAACCTTAAATGAACCACCTTCTTCCAAAGTGCTCGAGTTTGCTGCACTTGCTGCTTTTTCCAAGTTTTTGCTCAAGTTTGTGGAGGATAACTGGACCCCAGCTCCTGGTGGCTGATGAGGCATCACTGTAAGAAAAGCAGGAGGCAATTTCAGCTGAATGCAGCCTTTTGAGAGGAGCTCCTCCTGTGCGTTGGGACCTTAAAACAACAAAAAACACTTGTGAAAGTGCATTCATCCAGTCACCTGTAATAATTTTGCTGTTAGTTTTCCTTCCTGTCCTGAAGCTTGATGTAAAGAAAGTTGCCAGAGGTTAAATGCGACTAGTAGAGCTCGCATGACCGGACTGTGCAAAGTGGTTTTGAGGTCAGCGTGTTAAAAGCTAAATGTGTTCTGCCCTTCAGCAGTGGTATAATAACTTCTGGAAGTGTAGGAATGGGGAGGAATAGCAGGCTGGTTTGTTTCAGAGAAGCGATCTCCCTTCTTGATTTTTCCCACTCTGTAAATCCTGCTGTGTGTTGCGACAGTCCAATGGGTTTTCTTCTTATGCTGCCTATATGCATGAATATTCAATATTAAACATGAACATGAGCATGCTTCTGCCCTGCCCTTTCAGCCCTACTCTCCACTCTCTACACAGTGAGTCCAGCAAAAACAAAACAATTTTCATCCCTTCAGAGCTCTTTGGTACATGTGACATTTCTAAAACTGCGTTAAAACGATTACCGACTTACTGTGTTTATTGTGTTATGTGTCTTGTTATTAATTAACTGATCTTCAGAGGCTGAGGCTAAGCTACAACTTTCTTTATAGAAGACTTGGGAGTGTCATCTGTTTGAAGAAGATTGTGCTTGACTTTATCACACTGTGGGTGTTGTGAGGGATATTTTGCTGAAATATGAGCTGTAGTGCCTGACCCCTCCTCCTGAAGGGATGCTGCGTCCCCAAAGCTGCTTCAACAAGTTCTTGTCAGTCTCTTGCTTAAATAAATTTTAACTGTCAAGAATGTTAATGAATGGGATCATCACCATTTGCAGGCATTTCACAGTATACTTTTTTGCAAAGGCACTGTGTGCTATAAGCCACATGTGGGCCAGGTTTTGGTGCTTTTAATCAGGCTGAGCAATGTCTTAATTTGTGAACACTTCTGTTAAGTAAAGTGAGATTGCCTACAGGGCAGTTGCAATTCAGCATGGAATCATAGAATTGTCTAGGTTGGAAGGGACCTTTAAGATCATCTAGTCCAACCATCAACCTAACTCTGATGAAAAAAACATCACTAAACCATGTCACTAAGCACTATGTCTATCCGTCTTTTAAATACCTCCAGGGATGGTTTCTCAACCACTTCCCTGGGCAGCCCATTCCAGTGCTTAACAACCCTTTTAGTGTAAAAATTTTTCCTAATGTCCAATCTAAACCTCCCCTGGTGCAACTTGCAATTTCCTCTTGTCCTATCTCCTGTGACTTGGAAGAAGAGACCGACCCCCACCTCTCTACACCCTCCTTTCAGGTAGACAGCGATAAGGTCTCCCCTCAGCCTCCTTTTCTCCAGGCTGAACAACCCCAGTTCCCTCAGCCGTTCCTCGTAAGACTTACTCTCCAGACCCCTCACCAGCTTCATTACCCTTCTCTGGACCCACTCTGGCACCTCAATGTCTTTTTTGTGGTAGGGGGCCCAAAACTGGACACAGTATTCAAGGTGGGGCCTCACCAGTGCCGAGTACAGGGGGACAATCACCTCCCAAGTCCTACTCGCCACGCTGTTCCTGATACAGGCCAGGATGCTGTTGGCCTCCTTGGCCACCTGGGCACACTGCTGGCTCATGTTCAGCCAACAGTCGACCAACACCCCCAGGTCCTTTTCTGCCAGGCAGCTCTCCAGCCACTCTGCCCCCAGCCTGTAGCACTGCGTGGGGGTGTTGTGATCCAAGTGCAGGACCAAGTGCGTGAGTAAGACTTTCTTGGGTTAGCCCTTATTTATGAGTCAATTAAGGATTTCTGCCCGGTATTATACCTATGGATGCTGTAGGTACATCAGAGAAACAATGTGTTCCTCCCTCATCCATGTTCGTGGTAGCCGGAGCCTTGCATCCTTTAAACATGTCATTGGGGAGGCATTCTGTGTGTTGAGCTCTAAGAGACTCCCTCTTGCTAAACACCAGTAAGAGCTGGGAGAAATTCTGGTGCCACCTTTTATAAATGTATATGTTGTAAATGGTTGATTAACATTTAAGCTAATCAGCTGTTTTTAGATGTTACTTAGAGATCCTGTGGTTCATGTGGGAGATCTTTGTTTGATAGTGCAGAGGTGAGATCTGATGACAGGTTCACAAGTCCAGATAGTGCTTCTGCAACTGTCTGATTGGGGAATTCAGAGATTTCTGAGCCCACCAGCAGGACAGAGTTACTGGAGAAGCTGTGTCCTCCTACCTGATAACCATAATTGTGCAAGTCTTTGCACACCCTGGTATTTAATTAGCCCATAATTAGTGAGTTACTGGATTCACTAATATTTTTACCCAGATAATTGTACTACTGATTTGTGTTTGTTCTTATATTGTTGTGGTGAGATAAATTGTTTATCCCTAAAGCTGTCTCATGTCTTTTACCAGACCCCAAACTTGTAACTCATTTGGGCTGAGTTAAGCCCCTACAATTGCTTACAGTGATTATGCAGCCACAGCTGGAGGAACTTTGCATCATACTAGAGTTATTTAGCCTTTACCTTAAACGAGGGTTATATCTGATGGAAAGAAGAAATTAGTTGAGCAGCAAAGTGAGGCATCAGAAAGCTCTTTGAAACAGTATTTTGGTCCCAAGAAAAGTAATTATTGTGCATTAGATGGTGATAGCTCAAGTGTTCGGCAATGACATTGCTCAGCTGAGTAATAGCTCCTTGTCCTTCTGAGGATGGTATGTGCCTTGTGATCTACAAATAGATTAGCCCTTGCTCCACAGACTAGAAGTTTGGTGCTTCTCAGAGGGATTTGGTACTTTGGCATATCAAGTAGTTTTTGTGTAGCACATCTTGTGTGCTTCTCCCAAGCACTGAACTGTAATAAAATAGATGGACGTTGTGCTTTTAATAAAGCTGAATAAAGCAGTGTGTGATTGCTGTTCACTTCTATTCAATTGACCAAAGACTGACAAGAGCTATGCAGCATTTAAATGACTAAAAAGCAGGAGGCCTAACTCCATTTTTGTTATGGACAATCAAATTGAATTGATTGTGCTTAAGAGAGCAGAGCTGGGCATTTTGAAGTGGTTTGTATTTTGCAGACATGTTTTCTGCTTGGGGTTGTTTTCTAATCTTCCATCCACTTTAGGGAGCTGATGTTGTCTTATTCAGTTGGGAAGGAACTGAAAACATCATGAACAACAAACTTTGCTTTGGATTGAAAAATTAGAAATTGGAGTTCTAGGAAGTGCCAATGGAAGAGAGATGTGTTCCCTAATGATGCATTCCATCTTCTTGGAATTTCAGCAGTTAAATTCAATAGTTTTTTTAAGGATGTGGCATGAAGAAGGCACTCTCACTTTATTATTCAGCCTCATAGGGAATGACAGTGTAGGACAGATATCATTGAATAACTAACTAGAGGAGGCTTTAATTTGATTGTCCTTTTTAGACAGGCTTTTGGTGGCGGAGAGCGTGAATAATGGCTGATCCTTATTTTCCTTTTGTTTCAAGCATGTTAATGGTGCACTCCACTGCCATATGGTGTGTGTATTTCACTCTGAGCTTGCAAAGATAATCTTGCATTCCGCACAGCCAAACACAGCTGTACATCAATAATCAATATTGTGTTTTTGATACCTTTTCTAACTATGACTCTGTGTTCTCTTTTTCTGAAGGGTTAGCAAGCAGAAGTGTTTCTGCAGGGACAGGGACTCATTGGAAAGGAGCATTTTCCTTTATGAAGGCTATTATTAGTGTTTGTTACCAAACTTAAGCTAATGTACCTGTGTGTTAAATGTAGCAATCTTTCCTTTATAAGCAGTAGTAAGCAGAGCTGCTCTCCCAGTTCTTCTGATTTTCCTACTCAGTGCTTTTCATTAGTTTCTCTTAATTTAAATTAATCCTTTTACCAAAAAAAAAATAATCAGAATTCTAAAGTACTGGTTAAGGATGTTGAGAAGAGGAGATAGTATTAGAACTTAAAGGTTGAAAATTTTCCTGGAAAGAGCTCCTTTCCATAAAGGATTGTTTATCTTCTGGGTTTTTTTCCCCCCAACATCTAAACGTTCATTTTGGCAGTAGCAAAGCACCTTAAATTTTGGGTGTTGGGGTGGTTTTTTTGCTTGTTTTAAATAAGAATGTCTTAATCTGCTTACTAGGAATGACTAAAGAGAAATAAACTCCTATAATGGGAAGTGGGAAAGGGGAGCGTGAAGGTGATTGCAGGAATTCCTTGGTACATACTTGAGAGAACTGTAGGTTATAACCAATTACCAGCTGGAAATACATCCACAGCCTTTTTTTTTTATTTTTTTTTGGGGGGGTCATTCTTAGTAAACTTAAATGGGCTTCACTGTCTGAGGAAGGCAACTTGAGAGCCTTGCCCTTACCTGCTGTTGTTCCTTAGCCTTTGAAGATGCTGACAGCGCGGTGGACGACCGAGACAGCGACTATCGCAGTGAGACGAGTAACAGCATCCCGCCTCCCTTCCACACCACGGCGCAGCCCAACGCCTCCGTCCACCAGTTCACCGTTCCCTCCCGCCTGCAGCAGCAAGGGGTCCTGCGGGAATCCTGTGCTGACTCCCTACAAAACTATGATCTGGATTATCGGGAGCACGTGGCCATCAGGTGGGTTTCTTTTCCCGTTGAGTTTTCTATAGCAGACCCTGAAGGTGCCCTGCTGGCAGAGGAGGGCAGCTCAAGCGCTCTGAAAGGCTTCTGATAAGAAGGTGTTACGTGTTTTGTTAACGCTGGGAATCTGCTGTGAACCAGGAAAAACCCAAAGGGCTATTTGTTACACTAGATCCAACGGTTTACCTTTTAACCTGAATTACCTTTTGAAGATAGAATCATAGAATCATTGAGGTTGGAACAGACCCTTGGGATCATCGAGTCCAACCATCTACCCTACTCTACAAAGTCCTCCCCTACACCATGTCCCTCAGTACCGCATCTAAACGTCCCTTAAACACAGCCAGGGACGGTGACTCAACCACCTCCCTGGGCAGCCTGTTCCAATGCCCTATCACTCTTTCAGTGAAAAATTCCTTCCTAATGTTCAATCTAAACCTACCCTGTTGGAGCTTGAACGTTCCCTCTCGTTCTATTGTTAATTACCTGTGAGAAGAGACCAGCACCAACCTCTCTACAGTGTCCTTTCAAGTAGTTGTAGAGGGTGATGAGGTCTCCCCTCAGCCTCCTCTTCCTCATACTAAACAGCCCCAGCTCCTTCAGCCGCTGAAGATATGCTCAACTCTGAGCATATCTCTGAGGTCATTTATTCTTGGTTCTACTTTCACCTTACCTTTTGAAGGCCTGAGCACTGGGTAATTGGCTGTTCTGGTACCGTTGCGTGGGTGTGCTTTCCACGCCAGTGAGACACGTGCTAGCAGAGTTATCCCATTAGGAGTGTCTTTCTTGGGACAGATTTGTTTTCTGCTGCAGGTTAGCTCCTGCTCTTCTATTAGCTCTGTCAAAACAAAATATTCAAGAAGAAAGTCTGTAACCAATTAGGGTTGGCTATTTTTTTCTGTTATCATGTAGCACTGTTGAATAGTGTGTTTTCTCTTTTGTTTTCCTTTGAACACAATGAAAGATAGCTTACTTGCTCTAAATTAACTTTTTGACCATAAATCAGTAGTTTCACAACTGCTTTTATCGCTTTTAAGTATTAAGCATTACCACATTAAATTACCAGAATCAGTGGCTGTGAACTAGAGCTGCTTGTGCTGGGAACTGTAGGAAACTTTACAAAACTGCTGTTCCAAATAAGTGTAAGGGGAAAGCAGAAGAACTTGGACAGTGCTTGATAAGAGTGGGTGTGTAGAACAGGCCCTGCTGCTGCTTCTGCCTTCAGTGTGGAAGAGGCAGTTGCTTAAACTCTGTCACAGTTAGAGGTGCAGGATTTTATATGCATTATAACTGGTCTGTTCTGCCTCATCCCCCTTGGTAAAAATGTTCTTGCTCCCTGAAGTCTGAACCTGAATTCAGTTGCCATCATGAGTGTATGGCTGAGGCTAATTTTTACTCTTTTTGTCTTATGGTCTTTAAAGATAAAAGCTGAAATTTAATGGTAACATTTCATATTGTTACTGTTACTGAGATTTCAAGCAGCTGAGGTTAATATGCCAACAAAATGCACCTAGTACAGTGTGACATGTTCTCATTGCTCTTTTCCTAGTCCATTAAATATCTTATGTAAGAAGGTTATTCCCTTCCCCATGGTGTTCTGCACTGCTGGTTTGCTGAAGATTGCTGAAGATCTTGCTGAGAGTCTGGGAAGATGAGCTGAAGCTTTTTCTTTATGGAAAAGTGAACCTGAACAGTGATATTCAGCCTCCAGCCTGGGGAAGTGGTAAAATTGCTGAAGATCTTGCTGAGAGTCTGGGAAGATGAGCTGAAGCTTTTTCTTTATGGAAAAGTGAACCTGAACAGTGATATTCAGCCTCCAGCCTGGGGAAGTCAGTGGTGGCTGGGTTTTTCTTGCAGTTATGTGACTTCTTGGGGTGGTGTTGACAATGCAAGGAATCTTTCATGGCTCACCTTGCTTGGAGGTGAGCCTGATAACCTTTAACTTTACCCAGTGGATAAACGTATTTATAAGACCTTCCAAAGAAGGTTTGAATTGTTTGAATTGTTTCAATGGTTTGAATTTTTCTGGTTTGAATTGTTAAAAAATACTGGTTTCCTGAAGGTATTGTTATGAAAGGTTCTGGAGTGATAAAGCTTACTTAAAAACTAAGAGCTTTGTAGCCTGCTCTTGTCTAAAATTACTTTCAGTCCAGGAAGGCAAGTCCTAGATGGTTATTGATTCCTTCTGAGCATTCCTGCTTCCTGTGCATTTTCCACATACCCAGCAAGATTTTTTGCTACATATTTAATTTTAAAATTTAGAAAACGCAAATAAACTTTCCAAAGAAGTTTCTTGGGATTCTCTTCCTTAGCACACAGATATTTCTAGGAAGAGCTGGCTGGATAGATGCTTTCAAAACTCAGCAGTAGCTGAGCATTGCAAAACCAAATTGTGTTTGACTTTTGCTCCTAGCAGCTCTAAGTGCCATGGGCCAGGCAGCCACCTGATGAAATCGATGTTGGTGGCAGACTGCAGATGGTGATTGAGAAAGTGACAGCTTGTAGGAGGCTGTCCTGGGCAGACCCAGAGCAACCAGAGAAGGTTCTGCTAGAACCTGTCTTGGATTGGGCAAAAAGTTGTCTGTGTCAAAGTGCTTCCATTGAAACTGTCGGTACTAACACCTGGGATATATTTTCTGGGGTACATTTGGGTTTGGCTGGAAAAGTTCTGACACTCTTTATCATTGTGTTGTTTTGATAGAAGGACATGTATTTTATTCTTCCTCCCCTCTCCTAAGGATAACAGGTCTTATTGTTATTTGTCCTGGGAGTGTGTTTTGCTGCCAACAGCCAGTTTGACTTCAGAATAGCACATGTCTTCCCCTCGGATTTTTTTTGTTTTTTTTTTTTTTTTAGCACTAACTTTTCTTTGCAGCGTTCATTTCGTGTAACCATGTGTCCTCCATGTCTCCCTGCTCTCGCTTTGTTTACTTCCAAGGCGATACGGTAGCGTAGATTCCACTGTGAGTTGCCGAACTGACCTAGAGTCCGCGTCTGAGTCTAGTCAAATGACAAGCCGCCAGTGCTCGATAGAGAGCAGGCGCTCTCTAGATCTGTCCGATAGGTGGGTCAACCTCTTCACAGCCCCTCTGCCTCTCTCCTTGCTGCCGTGAAGTGGTCTCGTGATAATATTCCAGCTGATACTCGCTCTTTGCCTTGGCTCTGTTTGAGATCTGTGGTGGATTCGCGCTGAGCTGATATCTTTTTCTTTCCTCTCAGGTGTTGGACTCCTTGCCACTGCTTCGTTTCTAGTAAAAAGGAGTGCTTTGTAGAATAGCAGGGGAAACACAAGGGGGAGGAGCTCAATTTGAAAAAAAAAAAAAGTAATTTCATTTACGCCTAAATTAGTCAATTGTTGGTTCAGCGTTTACGCCTAATGGCTCTTCAGGTATTCATGTAGCTCCCATTGCTTTCAGCTGAGATGTGGAAGGGCTTGATCCAGTAACTATGGTGGCCCTGGGAGTCTTTTAAATTTCATTAGCTTTTTAAAGAAAATTATTTCAATTACCAGCTTAAAATTGCAAGCAAGAAGTGTAGTAAGTGTTCTAAATTGTGTACAACAGGGCTCATTTAAAGTAATGAGTATCTTTGCAATTAGTGTAAATTAGCTAATAATACTGGTGGAAATGAAGCACTAAAACAGCAGTAGTGAAAATGCAACGACCTGTTTGTCTTCCAGGGCTATCCCAGCAGTATCCTACATGGGGGTGTCCCAGGCAGCTCCCAAGGTGAAGACTCTTGTATTAGCAGTATCCATACAGTGTCCATGTGCCCTTTCCCTTCTCTCACCCTGCCCTTACAGGGTTGGGGTATGTGTGCCCTCACGCTCCTCAGTTCTCAACAATGAATGATGCGGGCAAAGCTGCAGTGCATCTTTCAGATGAGCATTTTGATTTTTGTTTATTTTTATGTACACTAGTAGGAACTCCTCTTGTGAGGTTTCGATAAAGTGGAAGCTTTCATGCAACGAGCCTTTGTGTTGTTGAACAATTGAGATAATCCTTCTCATCTAGGGCTAGAAATTAATCCCAAAATTCCAAGGGTCATTTACTGGGGTTTTTAGGAAGCTTCAGATTGTTTGGTAGCAAAGCACTAGCTGCTTTGATCCATTTTCCCACAACAGACAGGTATACATTGCTGGTTCTGTCTAGATGCATTGTAAATGGGAAATACAGATCCTGGAAAGCATCTGAGGCTTGTGATGGACTAATACCCATCGCCAATGCTGTGTTTTGCCTTCTGATCCAGTAACAGCTCTGAGGATCTTCATTTTGTGTTGGTAGGAGCCCCCTGAGGGCATTAGCTGCAGTGGGAGCTCTCCCAGCAAAGAGGAGTGATGGAGTAGCTGGGACTCTTCGCATTGCTGGTGCTCACAGTTTGCATTTTGTCCCCTGTGCCCAATTCCCTGGACTCCAGTGACTCCTGAGTCTTTGCATGGAGTCTCTGTTCTGTAGCCACCCTTGGGAGAAACAAGGTGCCTTGTGTGCTTTATGAATACTGCTAAAACAAAGTCTGCAGCCTAAAGTGACCGAAATACATGCGTAGCATAGTGGAATGGTGTGCGTGGGCACTGTATCTCAAAGTAGTCCTGTTACTGTAATAAGCGACTTTTTTCAGCATGCCTAAAAAAGTAACAGCAGAGTACTGGTACAGCCAAGGCTGTGTGCCCTCACTTGATCACAAAAAGCTGTTCTCCTTCAAACAGGCGTTTCTAAATTTTGTGCAACTGTAACCGGTGGAATATCATAACCCATGCTGCTTTTTTGACTATTTGATTGAAATGTATTGGTGGTAGATTGGCAGGTCTTCAGTTTTGTTATCTCTGGGTGGTTCTGATTTTAATTTTCCTTTATTTAATGCATGTTTTTTTGTTACTATTTTTTCTGTCCTTTCTAGAGCTCTTTTTAAAACTGTTATTTTCCCCTTCCTTTTTTTTTTTTTTTGCTGCCTCTCTTCCTTTCCCTCCCACCTCCTTTATTTCTCCTCTTAGAAAAGGA